TACACATCTTAAAGATTCGGTAAAATACACGTTTTAGAAAAAAGCAAACATACAATAAGGGTATTGTACACGTATGTATTTTTCCTGTTTAACATGCGTGTTTGTTACAAAATTTTCAGTATATATTTATAGTATGGCCGCATGGCTATACATTTTAAATATAGTATACTTCAGTATGGCCGCACTGCACAAAATGGTTTTCTTTTTTTGTAATTAAGTAATATCTTAGCCTTTTTTAATTACTTAAATTAGTAATTATGTTTTAATTTTATTTCTTTAGTGATTAATTAATATTTAAATATTTTACTGATTTCATAAATTACTTAATAAATAGTAATTAATTATTTTAAATTATTTTATGGACTTTGTTTTTATTTTATTTTAAACAAAATTAGTTTGTTTAGTTTAATATTTGCAATTAAGTAATTTCTTAGACTTATTTAATTATATTAATTATCATTTATATTTTATTTAATGAATAATTACTATTTAAGTATTTTAATTAATTTCATAAATTACTTAATAAATACTAATTAATTATATTTACTTATCTTAAATAATTTTGTGGACTTTAAAATTTGTTTTAATTTCCTAATATATTTTTAAAAACAGTTTCAATTATTATAAAATTATTTTAGTATTCCAAAAATGGATTTGACCCTCCAAACGCTAAACCCAAGTCTGAAACCCTGACCACAAGACTACTATGGAGCACTTATGACTTGATTCAGCTTGGATACTCACGTAACTCGACCTAGGGTTTTACGATTAGAGTTTCGATCTCAATATACGGTTAGTACGACATAATCAGACCTAACCCTAGTTAGTTGAGTGCGCCTTGAGGTAGATTTTACCAAATACATTTGGTCAATCAAACACTAAAAACCATGCTTCGGATTATGAAAATTTTGAGGTTGAATTAGAAGAACTAAGTGATTTGTTATTGAATTTGCGGCCTGTTAAGAGCATTATCCATTACTATGAGGCCATTACCCGAGTCTCTATTGTTCCCTTTCAATTTTTTTACTTTTCCGAAGTTATTACCGATATAAAGAATTTAGCATTTTCCCGTTTAATACTTGTACTATACAAGTATGTACGTATTTTTCAGTAATACTTATGTTTTCCGTACACATCTTAAAGATTCGGTAAAATACACGTTTTAGAAAAAAGCAAACATACAATAAGGGTATTGTACACGTATGTATTTTTCCTGTTTAACATGCGTGTTTGTTACAAAATTTTCAGTATATATTTATAGTATGGCCGCATGGCTATACATTTTAAATATAGTATACTTCAGTATGGCCGCACTGCACAAAATGGTTTTCTTTTTTTGTAATTAAGTAATATCTTAGCCTTTTTTAATTACTTAAATTAGTAATTATGTTTTAATTTTATTTCTTTAGTGATTAATTAATATTTAAATATTTTACTGATTTCATAAATTACTTAATAAATAGTAATTAATTATTTTAAATTATTTTATGGACTTTGTTTTTATTTTATTTTAAACAAAATTAGTTTGTTTAGTTTAATATTTGCAATTAAGTAATTTCTTAGACTTATTTAATTATATTAATTATCAATTATATTTTATTTAATGAATAATTGGAAAGTTCAGCTGATAATCCAAAAAATTCCTTAAAATATCATTGCTGTTCTTCCTCTCAACCATTCATTCAAATATTTGTCCTTGCCCGAACAGAAATGAAGATACAGAGAGACAGAGAGGGAAAGAAACATAAGGACGAGAGAGAAATAGAGAAGTTGGGTGGGGTGAGGGGGGGATTCAATTATGTTCAATAAGGGTTGGATTTTCGACTGTAAATAATGGAGGGAGCTTGGGGATTGCAATGGAAAGGGGTCCAAGTGCGTACAAGTACCACACTGTTCTCGAGATAAGAAGGATGTGCCCCTCACGTGACTTTTTTCACGAAACTGCCTCGAATAGGTGCAAGAATGACTATTTATGAGTGCTAAATCAAGATCCTTATTATTAAACATCTAAGAGCATCTACAATGGGCTCCCTAAATCACATTCTTAGACAAATTTTAGGGAGGCATTGTAAAAATACAACTTCAACCATGCTCCCTATCCACTTAAATATGAGGAGAGAGAAAGAACTCCTAGTGGCTCCCTATAATTTAATGCTGCCTTATTTAATGAGTATTTCAAACCTTTATTTAATGCTAACTATTTTTTTTAATTTTTAATAGAGATGGACCAATCAAAAAAGAGTTATAGCATTTATGACTCTCCAAATTAGGGAATATGGTTGGAGTTGAAATTTTTTAGAGAGCTCCTAAAATAGCTTTCTGAGTCTTGACAGATATAACAACTCACATCCTATCACCTGCCCTAAGCATCCAATATTTCTTTTTAACATTTCCTGTTCCCACACTAAATCTAACTCCTGTTTTCAGCTGTTCAAGAGGAAATCTCATCCTTGGACACCTCGTGTTTGGTGCGAGTCTAGATTTGGATTTGTTGGGGATTGAAATTGATGACAAGAGATTGATTCCAGGATTGGCTGTTGCATCTTCACGTGCTAAACCTCTAGCAGGTGTACATTCTCTCCAATATCATCTTCTGGTCTTTCTATATCCAGATAATTATTTCTTTCTTCTCATGCATATTCACTCTATCTATACACTGCAATATCTTTGGATAGATGTTCTTCGTACAGATAGCCTAACATGTTATGTTGCTAGATTGTTAATATAAACCGTTAGTCGAGTGGACTGTAATTTGAATTTGTAGTCTAGATTGACCGTCAACCAACTTACCATGTGAAGTTCTTTGACAAGATCACAGTATCCTACATGGACAAAGACCCAAATTTTTTATCAGGCCAGTGATATTCGGCCCTTGAGAGTGGTAGTGATACACTTGGTTCCTCCTTCATGGGATATTGTGATACGTTCTCCTTGAATCTTCTATCTTATTCCGGTTGTGTCTTAAACAATTTTCTGGTGTTCCTCTAACCGTAAGAGATCATAATCACATCTTTCTATAAACTGTTGCAGCTTGGATGAATGGGTTGGAAGTTTGTTCAATTGAAGCCGATTTGTCACGGGCTCGCTTGATTCTTTCTGTTGGAATTTCTGGGCGATATATTTATGCTACCTACAACAAAACTCCTGAAACAACGAGTGAAACTGAAGCTTGGGAAGCAGCAAAGAAGGATTCCGGAGGTTTGTACTTCCTTGTAAGTCAGGGGTCTGTATGTGGGTCTGAAGCTTGGGGTTCGACGTGTCATGCAAACTTACCTAAACGGTGTTCCTCTTCGAGGTCCCAAACTAAATCCCAGCATCTGAATTCAATGTATGATGTTCACCCCTCAAAAGCAATGGAACGATGGTATATTCAGTAGCTCTTCAAATTGCTAAAATCTGAAATTCAAATTTACCTAAACGGTTAGAGATGATCTAACTTCTTTTCAGGTAGAAAATATTTTCAAATACACATTATAGTAATCTTAACCCTCACTCATACTCCTTGATTTACCCCAAAGTGCATATACAAATTATGAATATGCATCTCTCTTTTCGAACTACATTAAACTTCAAGGAGTATATTTGTAAGGGATTCTGTACTAAAAATGTCAAATGAGAAATTAAACACAAGAATGAACTCGGGGAATACAAATAATTTAGCAGTATACTAAACACAATATCTATAAATTCAACCTCAGTAATTTTGTTTTTTTGATTTTTTTGAATTTTTTGAATTTTTTTGAATTTTTTTGTTTTTTTTGTTTTTTTTTTGTTTTTTTTGTTTTTTTGAAAACCCAGAACTCCACTTTGTCAGCTGATTCAACCTCAGTAATCAAAAACTGGAACTCTCCTCAAAACTGCATGCTAAGAAATGCCGTAAAAATGTTGAATCTTCTTTTCCTCAGGCAAGCACTTTTGAGTCAAACGTGCCAGCTTTTGTTTCAACTACTTGAACATCTGAACATCCTGGTGATTCTGCAGAGGCATAGTTGACAACAATAAGTTATGAAAAAAATGATGATTTTGGAAAATTACATGAGAAATTCTTGGTGCCATAATATCAAAGAACATAAAAGTGACAAAAAGTTTACAGGCGTAGACCACGTTTGTTGCCTAGGATTGGATTGGATACCTTATTAGATTCAAGGTATGTTGAAATAAAAAATGAAGGTAAGGATTTTTCATCGTGTGGGAAGTTATAAGGTTTCCTTCATTACTAATCCATCTTCTACCTCCAACTTGGACCAAGTGGGGAAGATGGCCTCCATTTCTTCCTTCAACGTACCTTGAATCTACTGAGTTATCCAATCCAATCCAATCATAGGCACCAAACACAGCCACACAGTAATAACAAAAGGTCCCAAATCAGAAAAAGATCAGTAGCCAATTAACATGAATACAGCATAAAGCATATAAAAATCAAAGCAGTTCATTTAAAAACACCAACACTGTAGGCTTTCAGAAGATATTTCCAAAATATGAAAAGAAATTCTCTACATCGACAACGAAGTAGACCCAGAGTGGTATCAATGAATTTCACGTACAGTTACCTAGTTATTACTCTTGCAGCTTTCTTAATTAAACAACTACAAAAAAATACGGAATAGAGCAAGAGATGAGAAATATCAGGTACAGTTATTGTTAAACACCAAATTAAGATATTCTAAACAGATAAACTGTTCAAAGGACTAACTTTCTCAAAATCAGCTGACAATTGGTTAAAGGAGAGGTATGAATCAATAAAGCTTCTTACTTTTCCTTAATTCTGCGAAACGTGTTGTCTGATGTACTTCCAGTTCCAGGGGAACTTTCTGCGGGGGCATTTTCAACTGGTTCAAGAACTTGTGGCTCAACAGGACTAGCATGTGGTTCTGTATCACTTGAAACACTTGAAATCCGATTCGTCGCAAGTCCTTCCTGAATACTAGGTTGTGGAGGCTGAATAGACACGGTCGAGATATACACAACCCAGAAAATAATTTTAAAAAGGAGAAATGTTGAATCATAACATATACAAATTAAATCATTATTCTTACAAATATGATAATTATTCGGAACATCGTTTGGAGACTACAAGTACACAAGAAGCGCAAGCAAGTAATAATATAAAAAATTTGTAGAACCAGGAATACAAGTATACAAGGCAGGCAGGAAAGTAATTATGCAGAATATTAGTCCAACCAAAACTATATCTTTCTTGGTTACATAATGTAGATAATGAATATCACCTTTATTTGTTCTTTTGGTTCCATATACAAAACTGAGTTAATAAACCACGCAAGATATAAATTTTGGAATTTATGAAATAGAAAGGAAAGAATGTGTGCGAAAACTCACCAGTCTTGCAGAAGACAGACTGTGGTGTGAAGTGGCAGGGCCAAGGCTGTGACATTGAAGAAAATGTAGAAATTAGAAGACAACAGAGTGGTAACCTAGGGTTCTACCTTCACGAGCTTTTCTTTCATGCACACGAGTTGCATATGAGTTACTTCAGCCATTAGTCCGACAATCCTAAAACCCAACGTCAACTGCACTCTCATCACCTTCAATCTAATAGCTGAAGTAATTCATGTGCCCTTAGCTGCAACTAACCCATGTGCATGAGAGAAAACCTCCTCTACTCTGCTTATACAGAGGAAATAGTTGAACACTTGAATTAAATTTTTGATCAAGACAAAGGAGAGACACAATAAGAGCAATATAATATGTTGATGATATCCACAATTCATGCACTTATTGTTGTTGGATATACCGCGAAGATACAGAAACCATCAAACACCTAATTAACAGAAACACAACAGAAAGCATATGAATACCAAAGACCTATGAAGTAAATACTTTTGCAAACACCAATGATGCATGTTTTCAGAAGGAAACGGAAAATGATAAAAAGCTCTATCTCAAAACTACAACAGTATGAGTGTCTGATCTAGCTAATCAGTGGCCTCCCTTTAAGCTTCAGCTTTAGATAAATCGTATCAAAATTGTTTCAGCATTTAACTATATATGTATATGCAATGTTGAATGTCGAATGTTGGGTGGTGTAAACTAGTGGAACTTAAGTTTGACAAGATGCCTTTAAGGCATTTCATCAAACAGGTTCTCCCCCTCTTATATGTGGCTCCATCATTGACAGTCACTTGTAAGTAAAGCAACTCATTATTGCTGAAATTCCAAAAAAAGATAAAAGACTCAAACACCTAAATTTCTCAAAACGAACTAACAGTTGATTGACAATGCATTAAAGAAAACATGATGAATCAACAGATATACAGATAAGAACAGTTGATTGAATTACTAAATGAGAAAGAAAGAAAAAAAGTTCATACCTTTTGTTATTCTTGTGGCTCTGAAAGGGGCTAAGATGAATGGTATCCGGGCCCTTATTGCTAGATATTGAAAACGGGGCAAAGCCTTTCTCAATTTCAGAATCCACAGGCTGAACTGATGCCATAGTTGCTGCTACATGCAAAACAAAAGGAAGAATAAACAACTGAGGTATTCAATTAAGACTTTAAAATGATCTAAATAAGTCTTGTGGTATTCCATTAAGACTATTAGGATTTTTAAAAAGAGAGTAGCCAAATTTAGTGGTATTCAATCAAGACTTTAAACAATTAAAAAATAGTTTTATGGTATCCAAAATCTTGCTAATTTCAAAGGATTTTTTAAAATGTGGAATTGAGTGGGATTTTGTAGTGGGAGGTATAAATGCCAAACCCTATCTCAAATCCCACCCTAACTCATAAGATTTTTCACTTGGGATTTTTTTATACTCTGTTGGAGAAGATGAACAGAGGGCATAGTAATTGCTCTCAGAAGTTCACAGCATAAGCCTCTAAAGAGGCTCCACTGGTGAAATCCTTGCATTCTTTTATGATGGGTGTTAGTGTTTTGCTCTAAGAGACCTTATCAAAAACTGTTGCCTTCTCAAAACAGGAGATGAAGCCAACATATAAATACAATACTTTGCACAAAACCCAGAATTCATTCCATGTTTTATTAACATCAATGACCAAGCACCACAATTCTTTTTATTTTTTTATGAACCAGGGGGAATATTGAGATTAATTTTGAAAATTTCATAAGTAGTTTTATAATTTCTAGAAAAGTTTGATATGTTAATGTGTGTTTAAGAGTTGGATAGCAGATGGTAGTTGGCATTTAATTCATGTTCTAGGGAGCTACATGTCTTGCTTAAATATGAGCTTTTGTATCTGGCTTTAAGTACAGAAAAAACAGAGCTACAACCTAAAAATGGAATTGTAATCAGCCTCTATTATCAATCAAAGAAGGAATTTCAGGAATCAAAATTCCATACTAATCCCACCTATTCCGCTGCTTTCAAACCCAACAGGGGAAACCCCATAAAAAAAAACTACACAGAATTAATCAAATGGGGCTTAACAACCCCAAAGAATCATTAATCAGCCATAAACCAAGCACCACACTTTGCTACAACTGAAAACCCAGAAAAAAGAAAGAGAAAAAATATGATACTATCGTAAGATTAACTTATCCAAAAATTGATCAAACCGCAAAGTGGTGAACAATGAACAAGAAATTGCAGATACCTACCGAACCGATACAAGCACTGCGAAAATCAAGGAAATGCTAAACCTTTATGAATCAAGCTCACTTTTTTTATAAACCTTTATGCTAAACTATCTTTTTATAAAATGACATGCAATGCAATGCAATGGACTTGAATTCAACCGGCTTTTAACTTAAATTGAACATGATAACTTTAAAAAAATGGGAAGAAAGGAGTGAACCTGCAGCGTAGCCGCCGAGAGAGAGAGAGATGAAGAAGGGTTTAAGCCGTGCAGGGGATAAGAGAGTGGCAGTTGTGGGGTATAAAGTGTAGGTTTCTTTTCTTTTTTAATTTAGAATTTTTAAGTTTTTTAATTATAGTGATTTGACCAAAATTAAAAATGGCCTGACAGTATATATACAAAAAGGTTTTGGAAAATATAATTTGGGTCATTAATGAAGACTGATCAGGCCCAGTCCGTGGCAGGCCCGTTCATTGGTTTTTTGTTTTTGTGTATCAAAGTTGAGAAGATGATGAGTTTTCTCACACACAAGATGGTGGGCTTCAAACGTGCTACTTTTGTTGAAGAAATGGAAGAAGAGAAGTCTTTATTTTTGAATTGCAAAAACTACTAAATCAATCGTATAAAAAGAAAAAGAAAAAAAACTACTAAAAATCAAGTGAATTGGAAGACTTTGTCAAAACTACTAAAAATCAAGTGAGAGAGAGGCTAGGCTAATTCATGGCTTTTGGGGCTAGTTCAGTGGGAACAAGATTTGAAACAGAAAAAATATGATGAGAAGGATCATCAGGAGAAAGGCGATGCCAACTTTCCAGAATCAGATGAAAAAGAGAAAGAAGAGAGTAGTAAAAACCAACCCATTTAAATTTTCACGTAATCCGGTCTCCACAAAGAGAAAGTCCCCCGCATGCATGTTGACAATGGCAGTTCACGGTGGTCATTGTGATGCGGGCCTGTTTGTGTCTCATATCTAACTGAGAAAAACCAACAGAATTCGGCAAGGCAGGAAGAGAAAAACCAACAGAGATCTGAAGATTTGAAGAAGAAGAAGAAAGCAAAACGAAACATAGCATCTGTAGACAACTTACAGATGCAAGTAGTAGTAAACAATGCCTATGAGTTAGGTGCAACACAATAAACAAAGGAAATTGCAAAAGCAGGCCGGCATTGCGGCTCTTTGTCGTGTCTTTATATCGACAGTATGATGTGTACTCCTTGTTGTTTTATAAAATATCACTTTCTTTTTACTATTTTAAATCATGCAATTGGATTCTCATTTTTGGCATCTCTGCATCTACCGAGGAGCCATTTTTCTTTTTTACTTCCCTATGTTATTTATTTATTTGCAATTGTGTTATTTTTGTTCGCGACATCCTAGTTTGATCAAGAGAATTGGGAGTATGAACTAAGAACCAGACAACTCAATTCGTACTAGGCGTATAGTACTTAAATTCAAGGACGAATTTTCTTTTAAGGAGGATAGGATGTAATATCCCGAATAATTCAAGGTGGACTTTCGTATTTAAGTGAAAAACAAGAACCATATGAAGAATAATTATGGGTATTTTATCAAGTGATTTTGGATTGAGACTATTGAATTAAGTGTGTTTAATTTCAAGTTGGACAAAAATGCCCTTATGTAACATTTTGTGAATTTTTCAAAGGACATTTAAGAAATTGAGGTGAGACCATTATGATTCTTAGGTAGTACAATCGTAGTCGACTCAACAAACACGTAGGAAATCATTTCTGAATTTTGGGCCAAAATGACCAAAATACCCCTATGAGTGAATAATTACCAAAATACCCTTGTAGGCCCCCCAAAAAAAAAAAAAAAAAAATCTAAAACGTGGAGGGTATCAACCCACCCTCCCATTTTTTCCCCCTTGCCTCAAGCTTTCAAATCCACCATTTATGAAAGGATGAGTCACCTATTCTAAATTGATGACTCACCTAGCCTAAGATTCTTCAATTATGAATCTATTCTCTTTCTCCCCATTCATTGTATCATCACTCTCTTCTAAATTGATGACTCACCTAGCCTAAGACTCTTCAATCATGAATTTATTCTTATCCTCATCATTCATTATATCATCACTCTCTTCCTCATTCACAATATTTTCATCCTCATTCTTCTTTTGTTCCTCTTCAAAATTCAAAATTCGTCACTTCCTTGGAGCAGCCGAGAACTCAAATATCAAAAGCTCAAATGAGAAAACTTCCTCCATAAAAGTTGTTCATTTACGTGATTCCTATAACATGCTCCAATTTCACCTCAATTCGACTAGTATAGACTTCGACAAGTTGGTATGAACACAATAAGTTTACCATTTCCTGATTTCACAGTAGTATGCTCGGTTTCAATATGTTTCTGTGATTTCCTGTACTCAAATGACTTTGGTTCCTTCATCAAAGTTGTTTGAAATGCTGTCTATTATAATATATCAAAAGTTTAGGATGATCGGACTTCTATAGCCACCTTGGGAACGTTTAGAGTGGAACTTGTTTATAGTCTTCGACCCTAGTTCCTTCCCTTGGTTTCAGTCCAGAACACTCATTTCGAAAGCTCAAAACCCTATAGTTTCTTCATGATAGTCACTCCAAATTCTCCTCTTTATAACATATCCAAAGGTCAGCAAAACGCAACCATTATAACTCTCTGAAAATTGATATGAACAAAACTTGTTCATTGATTATATTGAATTTCTTGTTATAGATGTGTACTTTCTCTCAAATGGCTTGTTACTTGTCATTCCATTGATCAAATTAGCCACTATCATCTCAAGTAAATGATTCTTTGAAGGTATGAAGCTCATCTTCATATTGTCTCTTTGAGTACTAGTTGTAAATCAAGTGTTGGTCAGAATACCTCAATGACATATATCTATTTCAAAGTGTGTTTCTGTGAAGTTCTAGATTATTTCGATGTGATTTTGTACCAATTTCATTATGGGATTTTGTTACATCAAAATTGATATCTCAAGGGTTATTTCAAAGTTGGTTTTGTGCCATTTGAATTTAAATTGATTTTTTGTTGTTGTGAAATTTCAAAGTAGACTATGCTGTTGGAATTGTTCTGATTCTACCACATGCCTTGTTTTGAATACGTGTTTGAAAACTTCCTGAACTTGGATTTTCATGAAATTTTAATATGTTTTTCTTTCACGTATCTTCTTGAAATCTGGAAAGTTTTATCTTGTTTGGTTGTAAATTGAAATTTTGGCGATTTTTCAAAACAAGTGTACAAACTTGAGAAAAAAAGAACATTCTACAGCCTAATCTGTTTTGGTTTCTATTTTGACATGCTTCCTTAACGCTAATTTCCATCAAATTTTGACTTTTTTTTTCTATGTGTAGTTGTGATCTGAAATTTTTTACATTATTTTGATTTAAACTCAATATTTAGTGAATTTTCAAGCGTATTATGGGGCTTTAGGTCTAAGTGCACCAGTAAAACACTTAAACGTGTTTCCTTATTTCCAGTGAATTTTAATCAGTAAATTATCTTAATTAGGTGTTCTCCTCTGCGTACTTTTGAGGACAAGCCCGCACAAGGTTAAGCTAGCTGGACACGAGGTAGGATTTCCTGATTTTCCAATGATTGGGCTATGTCACTTTTAATCTTGGTGCTTATATATAATATTATAAATATGAATATTATCGTTGCTTTGCTTGATGAATATTATTTGATGTTATGTGAATATTATTATTGATGTTTCTCCATGGATATTATTTTTGACGTTGGGTGAATATTATTATTCATGTGATGAAGCTTGAAATATTATTGTTATTATTTGTATTATTATTCCGCACAAATAAATTATGTTTGCACTGCATTACATATGCATCATAAATACAATGGTATTTGGGGTGTGTGTCATTTGAGGTATATCTAATGGGTGAGAGAAGGTTTTAGATATATCTGAGTAAAAATGCAGAATATATTCAAGTGACAGGAGCAGGGCTTGAATATATTGAGGTGATGGGAGAAGGGCCTTAATGAAAAGTGAAAGTTGAGAAATTCGTAAACAAAAGAAAAATGGGTTAAAGGACGGATGGCCGCTAATTCATATTTTAGGGTATTCGGAGTCACAGTGGTAAAATGCATGGTATGGGACATGCAAGCTTGTTGCTCTAGGATATGAATTAGTGGGATTAGAAGAGAGTGAGTTCATGACATCACCGCATATGCAAATTTATTTATCTGGTTTGATTGCATAATTTATATATTTTGTGTTGTTTGATGCATGACACTTTGATTAACTGTGATAGCTGACATTGAGGGGTTTGACGGTACTCTACTGGGCATTAGAATGCTCACACTCTAATAGATGATGCATGTTCCAATGCAAATCTTGAGGAAGGAGAAGTTCCACCAGAGGACCAGATTAGTGTTGTTAGTTACTGTTTGTAAAATTATTAAGGAATAAATTGTTGGAATATTACTCTAGTGTGTGTAACTAACTTTGAGCTACTGCGACTCTGACTTCGTATTTATTAAATAAGTTTGTAATATTATTGGCTCTATTTCTCATCATATAATGGTTGTAGGATTTTATTCTTATGACTACGGTACAACTCACATAATGATTCGAGAATATTCCTTATTTTCGAATTGGATCGTGACACCCCATCTGCCCTGCCAATGCCCCAATTTACTCGTGATAGCGAATCAAGTGAGGTAATTTTCGATGATTTAAATGTGTCAACTTATCAGTTACCTCTACGAACCACTCATAGGAAACCTAAAGGACAATATTCCCTTGATATACATGCCAAGTCTAAATATTCCATTAGCCATTATGTGTCAACTCATCATTTATCTAAGTTATATGCATCATATTTGTGTCAATTATCTAGTGTATGTGTGCCAACTAAGTTGCATGATGCTTTATTTGACCCTAAGTGGATGGATGCCATGAATGTTGAAATGGAAGCTTTGAACAATAATAAAACTTGGGATTTAGTTCCTTTGCCATTTTGAACAATAATGAGAATGGAGGATGAGGTTAAATGTAGTAAGCATTAGATAAATTTAGTATATGTTTGTCTCACTGAGAGTGTCCTTTCTCCTTGTGGAGGCTCTATTCTTCTAGTTTCTCTTCCGTTTTGCATCACTTATTGACATGAATTTTTTCTCCAATCCTAAGTAGTTGAAATTCCTTAATTCGAGTATTTCGTTCTACTTAATGATATAAAGCACATATTATTACAATGATTGTTCACACCTTTTTTGGAGCCTATGTTAACAAGACACTACAACGGACGTTCAAATCGTATGTAAAGTTCAATTGTGGTAATACTACAACACAGATGCAGAACTTTGATGTCTTTTGAACCAGTGTTGTTAATGGCTCATACCACACTACTACAAAAAGAGAAAAAGACGACCAGAAAAACACGACGGCAGAACATAAAACCGTTGTTGTATTTAAACCGACGACGGTATAAAAAAAAACCGTCGTGGATAAGTGCCTTACTGTTGAATATTTTTAAAAGACGACGCATACAAATAAAAAAGCGTCGTTTTAAAAAAAAGATTTCTTCAGAGTTAAAATCTGACCAAAAAACAA